GTATGTGTGTATGTGTGTATGTGTGTATGTGTGTATGTGTGTATGTGTGTATGTGTGTATTGTGTGTATGTGTGTATTGTGTGTATTGTGTGTATATGTGTATGTGTGTATGTGTGTATGTGTGTATGTGTGTATGTGTGTATGTCTGTATGTGTGTATGTGTGTATGTGTGTACGTGTGTACGTGTGTACGTGTGTACGTGTGTACGTGTGTACGTGTGTACGTGTGTACGTTGGTACGTGTGTACGTGTGTACGTGTGTACGTGTGTACGTGTGTACGTGTGTACGTGTGTACGTGTGTACGTTGGTACGTGTGTACGTTGGTACGTGTGTACGTGTGTACGTGTGTACGTGTGTACGTGTGTACGTGTGTACGTGTGTACGTGTGTACGTGTGTACGTGTGTACGTGTGTACGTGTGTACGTGTGTACGTGTGTACGTGTGTACGTGTGTACGTGTGTACGTGTGTACGTGTGTACGTGTGTACGTGTGTACGTGTGTACGTGTGTACGTGTGTACGTGTGTACGTGTGTACGTGTGTACGTGTGTACGTGTGTACGTGTGTACGTGTGTACGTGTGTACGTGTGTACGTGTGTACGTGTGTACGTGTGTACGTGTGTACGTGTGTACGTGTGTACGTGTGTACGTGTGTACGTGTGTACGTGTGTACGTGTGTACGTGTGTACGTGTGTACGTGTGTACGTGTGTACGTGTGTACGTGTGTACGTGTGTACGTGTGTACGTGTGTACGTGTGTACGTGTGTATGTGTGTATATGTGTATGTGTATGTGTATATGTGTGTGTGTGTATATATTACATTTTAATATATTTCTGTAAATTCTATAGAAACTTTTAAACAATATTTTGATATCAAAACTCCGCAATAATTAAATGAATTAGATAGGTAATAAAAATAAAGTAGGGACGAGAAGTTCAATCTTTCTTGGTTTAAAACTATATGCATATAACAATTAGGCAGGTAGGTACTTACTTTTTCGACACTGGCAATCTTTAGTATCGATTCAATTTACTTTTCTTTTCAAAACAGTCGCTGAGCTCCTTAAAATATTATCTGCCTATATTGATTAGAGAGGTCAACATTTTAGTAACTAAAAATGTTGACTGTTTATATCAGTGGTCGCCAACCTCTCAATGTGTTGAGCTACTTTGTTAATTTTGGAATAAACAGCGAGCTACCCACACGGAATAAGCCACGTAACGCAACGTAAATGAAATAATTCACAGTTAATTTATCATTATATGTATTTATTTTACTATTTAACTTGTAATACATAATACATAGGTACTAATAATAAAGTAATAACAAAATAACTAATATTACTAGTACGTACTTGTCCATAGCTACACAAACTTTTATCCAGCCACAACGGCATGTCACGTAAGATTTAATAATAGTTAATAATAACAACAAAAAAGTAACGCACTATCATGAACATAAACATTGAAAAATAAAAAAGTACGTTCAATGAGAAGGCTGACACTTAGACTCATTGATAATTTTTTTAATGTTTGCAGTATAATTTGATACAGCCATTCGAATACAATTATCCAAATGTACATCTGTAAGTCGATTGCGATATTTGTTCTTAATAAACTTCATATTGGAAAAAGAAGATTCACACAAATAGGTTGAACTGAATAATGCTTTCACTTTCAAGGCAACACGGCATAGAACTGAATAGTTGTCTTTACTTACTATAGGCCAGATACATTTGGTACTTGAGACTAACGATTTTAAGGCTAAATCATTTTGAAACTCAATTACTTCCATTTCTGTTGTTCTGTCTTTGCCAAAGTTCTGCATAACACAAGTTGCAAACTGTTGGATATCAATTTCCATAAAGGGTGAAACAACAAACTGCGCTACTAAAGCCATTTCGTTGAAATCCTTAAAACGATTTTTGAAGTTATTCTTTAGGCTAGAAACTATTTCTACATGATATTGGCTGTCATAGGGTTCTAATGGATTTTGAGATATTTTTTCTGAAAGAATAGGAAAATGCTTGGTATCGCTGTTAATTAGGTTTTGTTCCTAAAACTCCAGCTTTTTGATAAATGCTTTTATATCAGAAATCATTTATGCTAGTTCTTTGTCTCTCCCCTGAAGCTGCAAATTAAGTTCGTTTAATTTCTCTGTAATGTCCACGAGAAAATTAAAATCTCTAAGTCAGATTGAATTTTCTAGTTCCGGAGTCGGTTCAACGCGTTGTTTGAAAAATTGAACTATGCCAGATAGGACATCATTAAAACGTTTCAGCACCCGTTCTTTACTTAACCATCGGACTTCAGAGTGAAGGAGTAGGTCCCCGTATTGACAGTCAAGTTCATCGGCCAAGGTTTTGAATAATCTTCTTTGTAACGCTTGAGCTCTAATCTTGTTCACAATTTTTACCACCAGTTTCATAACGTTGTTTAGTTTCAGGAAATTTCTACATTATGCTTGCTGATGGATAATGCAGTGGTAACAGAGAAATTACGGAAAATTTTCATCTTTACGACATAACGCCACCTGACCCTTATCACAACCCACCATAGCTGGAGCGCCATCGGTAGTCAAGCCTACCATTTTCGATATTGGAATTTTCTCGGAAAAAATAATATTTTTTAAATGAGAAAACAACTCCTGTCTAGTAGTGTGTCCTTTCAGTGGAATAAACTTCAAAAAATCTTCTTTAATCGTAAAATTACTAAAAACCATCTTGACGAACACCGCCATCTGGGCAGTGTCAACGACATCTGTTCATTCATCCAGATGAAGTAAAAAATAAACACAGTTATCTAAGTCAGTTCTTAACTGTAAAAAAATATCATTGCTCATTACTTCTACACGTCTCATCACTGTATTAGCAAAAAATTGCATAGATTTTATAGCTGAAACTATCTCGTCTTTATTCTTGGCAAATAACGAATCAGCAGCTTCTAAAAATGCATGTTTTATCATTTCTCCGTCTTCATAAGGTTTCTTTTTTGTGCAATTTTCTGGGACACACGGTACGATGCTTCAGTTGCAGCCTTATTTTTGTCGACTGTTCTTAAAAATATTGATTGTTGTCCAATTAACTGCTTTTTTAACTGTTTCAATTTCTCCTTTCTGGCGGCAGAATGTAGTGGGAATGATTTTTCAAAATTAGAATGTACAGTTTTATGATGTCTCTCAATATTTCCTTTTTTAGCAACGGAGACCGAAGTATTACATAACAAACACACATTTTTATCTTTAACTTCTGTAAAAGAGTATTGTTCTTTCCATTCCGAATGAAAGTGGTATGTCTTTACGTTCTTACTACTGCTTGCCATAATATTATTTTTTGTTGTTCTCTACTAACCCAACCGCTAGACGTTGGTTACGCGTTCAGTTTTAAACTAAGCGCAATGTCGCCGCGCCGTGCGTATTTATCCCGTTCAAAGCAATCCTGATCGTTCTCGAACACTAACGCGCTGGTCCGGCTGGTCGGTTCTAGCCGATTCTAACTTGATGGCGTCAGCGGCAGATCGCTCACCGCAACGTTGCCACTATTTATGTTTAATATTATGACAATTAGATTTTTTTGTGGAATTTTCGGAAGCTTCTCTGATTTTTGCAGTTTGTATTTTTTAAATTAAAATCGTTGTGAGAGCTACCAGAATTGCCTCCGCGAGATACCGGTAGCTCGCGATCGACAGGTTGGCGACCACTGGTTTATATTATAAACAGTTGAAGTTTGTTACAAGAATTTCTTCATCACATGGAAAAATGAGTAATCATTTGTTTAATAGTATATTGCTTCACTATCGAAACCAAATTAATTTTAATACACCCCTGCTTTCGATTGTGGACCCCCATTTTTTTATTACGCCCAATCTAGACCGCCGTCAAGTCTCCCGTGGCCCCTTGGGGAAATACTGCCATAGACCGTGGCCGCAGTTCGAGTTGGGGATTATATCCCTTTTTTATTACATTTATACCTGTCCCGTAGGTTTCCGCAGTTCGAGTTCGTCCGTTCGAAGTTGGGTCAAAATGAGGGATTATTTTAGCACGTGCCATTGACTGAGTTTCTCCGGAGCTGAATTTCTTGTTGAAGACTTTTTTTTATTAGTTTGTAACGTAAATATTAAAATTGATTTAATTTGTTGTAGAAATATGGATCCTAGGGAAACTTATAGAAAAAGGAGAGGTGGAGGAGGATCACACGGAACTGATTATGAAATCCATTTAAGTTTGTTCTTTCTACTTTATCTTTTCATCCACAACATAAATAATTTTAGAATATCTATCGGTAATGAAGATGCTCATCCTTTTGATGATATCGTATATGAGCGAGAGAGAAAAAAGAAAAAAAACACCTTCCTTCTTCAAGCAAAACATTTCTTATGCGCAGGAACTCTTAGTTTTAGTGATTTTGATACAAAGGGCCGTTTGGATATTGGTAAACATTTAAATGGATTTCAACGCATAAAAATTGCAAATCAAATAGAAAATATTCAAAACGTTATTATTTGTACAAATTCTGAGTTTAATATAGAAAATATAAATCAGACAAATGAAGAGGAGATAATAAAATTAAGAAGAGATGAAGAAAACCACGAAGGGCTACCAATTTTTTATATTCCAGATTCACAATTTTATCGTATTGAAAATATGCCTAGAGCATTTAGAAATGGAATAAATGAAAATGACTTTCAAACATTTTTAAATACATGTTTACTATCTACCATACGGGATGAAAATTTAATAGAACAAATTCACAATTTAATCACTGACGTATTTGAGAACAGGATAGTATTAATAAATTGTGCAACAATTACACGGCTTTTTTTTAATGATTGTATAAAAAAATATATTAACTCTACAGAAGACGAAGTACCTTATCTTGAAAATACCGATCTCGATAACTATATAGATGAATTTATAGGACATCTCAATACTAACACTTAAGTTTGAAAAATAAAAATTGATTTCTAGCTGTGTTTTTTTTTGTGAAAAATCCCTCCAAAAGCGGCGTTTATTAATATTACAATCTGATCAAGAGTTGATTAATGAGTAACTTTAACTAGGGTTGCAATCTTAAAAACTAAAGTTCTACTTTGTTAATTTTGGAATAAACAGCGAGCTACCCACACGGAAGCCACGTAATGCAACGTAAATGAAATAATCCACAATTAATTTATCATTATATGTATTTATTTTACTATTTAACTGCTAATACATAATACATAGGTACTAATAATAAATTAATAACAAAATAACTAATATTACTAGTACGTACTTGTTCATAGCTACATTCCTACCTACCAAACGAAGGTGTTTGAAAAATAAACACACACTTTTATCCAGCCACAACGGCATGTCAAGTAAGATTTAAAAATAGTTAATAATAACAACAGAAAAAAACGCACTATCATGAACATAAACATTGAAAAATAAAAAAGCACGTTCAATGATCGATAATTTTTTTAATGTTTGCACTATAATTTGATGCAGCCATTCGAATACAGGTATCCAAATGTTCATCTGTAAGTCGATTGCGATATTTGTTCTTAATAAACTTCATATTGGAAAAAGAAGATTCACACAAATAGGTTGAACTGAATAATGCTTTCACTTTCAAGGCAACACGGCATAGAACTGAATATTTGTCTTTACTTACAATAGGCCAGATACATTTGGTACTTGAGACTAACGATTTTAAGGCTAAATCATTTTGAAACTCAATTACTTCCATTTCTGTTGCAGCGATGTCTTCGCCAAAGTTCTGCATAACAAAAGTAAACTGTTGGATATCAATTTCCATAAAGGGTGAAACAACAAACTGCGCTACCAAAGCCATTTCGTTGAAATCCTTAAAATGATTTTTGAAGTTATTCTTCAGGGTAGAAACTATTTCTACATGATATTTGCTATCATAGGGTTCTAATGGATTTTGAGATATTTTTTCTGAAAGAATAGAAAAATGCTTGGCATCGCTGTTAATTAGGTTTTGTTCCCAAAACTCCAGCTTTCTGATAAATTCTTTTATATCAGAAATCATTTCCGCTAGTTCTTTGTCTCTCCCCTGAAGCTGCAAATTAAGTTCGTTTAATTTCTCTGTAATGTCCACGAGAAAACCAAAATTTCTAAGCCAGAGTGAATTTTCTAGTTCCGGAGTCGGTTCGTCGCGTTGTTTGAAAAATTGAACTATGCCAGATAGGACATCATTAAAACGTTTCGGCACCCGTTCTCTACTTAACCATCGGACTTCAGAGTGAAGGAGTAGGTCCCCGTATTGACAGTCAACTTCATCGGCCAAGGGTTTGAATAATTTTCTTTATAACGCTTGAGTTCTAATCTTGTTTACAATTTTTACCACCAGTTTCATAACGTTGTTTAGTTTCAGGAAATTTCCACATAATGCTTGCTGATTCATAATGCAGTGGTAACAGAGAAATTGCGGAAAAGTTTCGTCTTTACGACATAACGCCACCAGACCCTTATCACAACCCACCATAGCTAATATTTTTTAAATGAGAAAACAACTCCGGTCCAATAGTGTGTCCTTTCAGTGGAATAAACTTTAAAAGATCTTCCTTAATCGTAAAATCACTAAAAACCATCCTGACGAACACAGCCATCTGGGCAGTGTCAACAACATCTGTTGATTCATCCAGTTGAAGTGAAAAATAAACACAGTTATCTTAGTCAGTTCTTAACTATAAAAAAATATCATTGCTCATTACTTCTACACGTCTCATCACTGTATTAGCAGAAAGTTGCATAGATTTTATAGCTGAAACTATCTCGTCTTTATTTCTAAAGTTATCAAATAACGAATTAGCAGCTTCTAAAAACGCCTGTTTTATCATTTCCCCGTCTTCATAAGGTTTCTTTTTTTTGCAATTATCTAGGACACACGGTACGATGCTTCAGTTGCAGCCTTATTTTTGTCGACTGTTCTTAAAAATATTGATTGTTGTCCAATTAACTGCTTTTTTAACTGTTTCATTTTCTCCTTTCTGGCGGCAGAATATAGTGGGAATGATTTTTCAAAATTAGAATGTACAGTTTTATGATGTCTCTCAATATTTCCTTTTTTAGCAACGGAGACCGAAGCATTACATAACAAACACACATTTTTATCTTTAACTACTGTAAAAATGCTGGAGTTTTGAGGATTAAAGCGGCAGACGGAGTATCAACAATCGGTAGGCTGGAGGCTTGGAGGCTCCCACCTAATTCAAAATATCTGGCATCTGGCAACCCTATATGCTCAGTGCAGCCACCACTGGTATTCAATGGTGCTGCAATGCTAAATTACCAATGAAATAAGTAGAAACAGTATAAAACATTTATTAACTAATTTAGGAGATTTTTGATTATTTATTAATACACATATAATGGAGTATTGTATATATACAGGGTGGCCATTTGAAAACAAAACATAGCCAATTTTGTCGCACTCCAGTTCCTTTACGAAAAACCGCTCAGACTCGTCAATTTTGGAGTAAGGGGGAAACATTTTTTTTGCTAGTTTCATCCCATGAACGGAAACCTACTAGCGGGGTTGAAACTTGCCCCTAAAATCTTAAATGGAAAGAGGGGTCAAATGATAGTTTATTTTGAAAATATTTTTACATAGATTTTAACCCCTGAGTTTAAAATCGCTAATGTCTTCCTAGCCATGACCTTTTAAGGATTTTTATTTTCTGTAAAAGCTTACCAGTTATTCGAGTTAATGCTGTAAATGCTGACCCTGGGCCTCCATGCAATAATAGGGGTTTAGTTCAAAACGCTCTCGGACATTTTAAAGCATCTGTGGGGTGATTTGAAGACATTTATCAATTATCCTTTGGGGGCATCCAATAACTACGTGAGGTGTTTAAGGGGGGGAGGGGATCAAGCTAAATATTTCTAAATCTTACTTGAGGGAGAGAAGGGTCTTTGTAAATCTGACGTTATTTTTTTCTAATAGAAAACGATGTAAAATTGCGTGAAAGTAAAGTTAAATCAAAGTAAAGAATGTTTATAGAAATTTTATATTACGGCAATATTCTCAAATACTAGTCTTTGCTAGTCTTAAATAAAAGTAATAGAAGATATTGGTTTTTTTTTTTTTAATTCCAACGTATTTACACCCAAAACTAGGGTTGCTACCTGTCCTTTTTTGAACAGGACAGTCCAGTTTTAAAGCAACAGTCTAGTTTTGAAGCAAAATATCCTTGACTTTTTAAAGCTTAAAATGTCCTTTTTACGACAAATGCCCTCTTCTTTTCATATGATAGATGTGTCATTTTTTTGAGTTTGAGTAACAGCGCACATACGTTGAGGACTTTTTTTTTAGAAGCTCGACAAGACAAAGAGGAAGATTTTTTTTTTAAAAAGGTGGCAGCCCTACCCAAAACACAAAGGGAGGGGAGAGGGAGGGGGATGGGAGGGAAAGGAAAGGTGGGAAGTGGATGAAAAAGAGGGGAGGGGAGTTGAGGATAATCTTACGAAATCTCACTAGGGAGGAGGGAGGTCAAAAAAATCCCCAAAATTACCTTACATAATTAATGGACGCCCCCTTTGTCACAGATTTTCCAGTGATGTTGGCTGGGTGGCATAAATTTTAGTTTTTAAGTGGCCTGATTAAAAATCTAACAAGGTTAGATCCGAAGACCGTGGGGGCTACTCACTCAATACTTTCTCTTTTTCCGATCCATTGTCCTGAAAACGTTTGATCCACATACTGACGAATAGTCACTGCAAAATGGGGTGGCACACCATCTTGATGGAATATTAAGTTGATTGATATGTACTGATCGTCATTCTCAATCAACCCTATTAATGCTGCATAAATGACGTTTTCTAAAAATTCCAGATACATGTCTGCGGTTAAAGTTACAGGTAAAAAAAGGGGCCAGTTATTTATTTATTTATTTATTTATTTATTTATTTATTCCAGAAACAAACAGGCATGAGCCTAATTACATGTTCCTATAAATACAGCGAAAATAGAAATCAACAAAAATACATAATATCTAATTAAATATATAAGTGAAATTATAATAAACAAACCTCGCTACTACAAAATTTTAACAAAGTTCGTTAAAGAACAAAACTACTGAAATAATCAGAAATATTCAGGAATAATCAGAGCGTCTGCAAAACCCCACACCAAGGCCACGGAAATCCTACAAGGTTATATCTCTTTAATCGAGCCCAACAATTTTGTTAAGTTCCTTTCTATATGTGCTTATAGCTACATCAAAAATACCGCAAGAAATGCCTTCGGAGTGTACATTAAACAAAAGACAAATTTTTTCTACTGGACCATGATTATCCGCACGAAAAGTTAATTGACGTGGACGAATACCTGCTATTGGAACATTAATTTTTATTTGACTCAATAAATATTGACTGTCCAAATATCCATTTAATAATTTATGTAAAAAGATAAGGTTGATTATAGAGCGTCTATGTTCCAATTTTTCAATTTCAAACTCTTTTCTAATAGGTCCAAATGAAACAAATCCTGGACTTGTATGATACTTTTTAAAGTATAAATATTTGACAAATTTATTTTGAATAGTTTCCAAAATGTGTTTTAAATTTTGTTGTGTAGGGTCCCATACAGTGGATGCATATTCTAATTTACTACGAACGAGAGCAAAAAATAAATTTTTAATCGAGTGTGTGTCTGTAAAGTCCCTAGTTGTGCGTTTCAAAAAACCTAACAATTTGTTAGCTTCTTTGGTAATGTTATGGATATGCTCGTCAAATTTGAAATTATTTTGAAAAACTATTCCCAAGTCGGTCATTTTTGACACTCTTTCTAGTGTTGATCCTTGCATTGTGTAGATAAAATTTTGAGGATTACGAATGTTACTGAATGTAATAACCTCGCATTTGGAAAGATTAAAATGTAATTTATTTTCAAATGACCAATCCGAAATTGAGTCTAAGTCATTTTGAAGGTCTAGATAGTCATCTAGGGTGGATATTTTCTTAAAAACTTTCAGATCATCTGCATACATTAGGCAGTC